CACAGAGCAGAGCGGAGCCCTCTCCCTGGCGTGGATAACACGTCGTCTGGGCATTGCAGTAAAGAAGGAACTTCCAGAACCATGTCCCTCCACCCTCTCCAGGATCTGCACGCCATTGATGCTAAGAATGAAAATCAGGATCTCCAGCAAAATTGTTTAGCCCACTTGGCGAAGTAAAACCGTTCACCTGTGCTGTAGGGCACTGACAAGCAGAATCCCTGTGCAGGTGGTTTGAAAACGCACGTGACGCCGGCCCCCCGTTCTGCTCGCCTGGCGTCTTCGCAGCTTGGGGACACTCCTTGGGAAGTGTCGAGGCTGATCGGCTTTGCTGTTTTAAGAGTGTCACTCCATGACTGCCCCTTTTCTAGCACATTCGACAGAAGAGACTCCCCCACGCGGCCTCTCTTCAAAAAGAAAGTTCTGATGGAGCAGCAACTTCCTTTTTTTTTTTTTTTTTTTTTAAAAACACAGAGTCTCGCTTTGTCGCCCAGGCTAGAGTGAGTGCCATGGCGTCAGCCTCGCTCACAGCAACCTCCAACTCCTGGGCTCAAGCGATCCTCCTGCCTCAGCCTCCTCCCGAGTACCTGGGGCTACAGGCATGCGCCACCACGCCCGGCTCATTTTTTTTTTTTCTATATATTTTTAGTTGGCCAATTAATTTCTATTTTTAGTAGAGACGGGGTCTCGCTCTTGCTCAGGCTGGTCTTGAACTCCTGACCTCGAGCGATCCTCCCGCCTTGGCCTCCCAGAGTGCTGGGAGCAGTAACTTCTTATCTCTGAAAAATTTGACCACTCCCGCCTCTGGGATGTTATTCCAAGCTAATGAGCTGTTGGTGACAGTAATGTCTCGGGGGCTTCACTTGCCTTTCTCGTTGGAGCCACGTGGAGGCCCGTGTCCGATCGTGACCGTCCACGAACTCGGCCGAGGGTGGAGCAGGGATACAATGCACGACCCCGCCCGGCCCGGGCCCTCTGAGCGCGCCCCACGTGGCTCACCCATCGGTTCGGTGCACGTTCCTCAAGAGCCTGCTCTTAGCACCTGCCGGGCGACAGCCTAGTCACGCAAAGATTAGTAAGATGTCACCTCTGCTTTCGTGGTGCTGGGGCCTAGGAAAAGGGAGAGACAGAAAAGTGCAAGAAAAACAGAAGGAAGCTGGGATGTGCTCATGGGGTCTAAAGAAGGTGCTGGGCGCAGGGGGGGTGCTCGGTCATTGTTGGATGGAAGCATGGGGTGGCGGGAATACGGACATTCGTGGTCTCACTGGGAACTGGGTGTGGGGGGAGAGGTCGCAGCAGAGAGGGGAGGCCGTGCACGTGGCCTGGGCAGCGTGTTGGGTGCAGAGGTCGCGGCAGAGAGGGGAGGCCGTGCACGTGGCCTGGGCAGCGTGCTGGGTGCAGAGGTCGCGGCAGAGAGGGGACCTGGGCAGCGTGCTGGGTGCAGAGGTCGCGGCAGAGAGGGGACCTGGGCAGCGTGCTGGGTGCAGAGGTCGCGGCAGAGAGGGGAGGCCGTGCACATGGCCTGGGCAGCGTGTGGGGTGCAGAGGTCACGGCAGAGAGGGGAGGCCGTGCACGTGGCCCGGGGCAGCGTGTGGGGTGCAGAGGTCGCAGCAGAGGGGAGGCCGTGCACGTGGCCTGGGCAGCGTGTTGGGTGAAGAGGTCGCAGCAGAGAGGGGAGGCCGTGCACGTGGCCTGGGCAGCGTGTTGGGTGCAGAGGTCGCAGCAGAGAGGGGAGGCCGTGCACGTGGCCTGGGCAGCGTGGGGGCAGAGAGGGGAGGCCGTGCACGTGGCCTGGGCAGCGTGCTGGGTGCAGAGGTCGCGGCAGAGAGGGGAGGCCGTGCACGTGGCCTGGGCAGCGTGCTGGGTGCAGAGGTCGCAGCAGAGAGGGGAGGCCGTGCACGTGGCCCGGGGCAGCGTGTTGGGTGCAGAGGTCGCGGCAGAGAGGGGAGGCCGTGCACGTGGCCTGGGCAGCGTTGGGTGCGGAGGTCGCGGCAGAGAGGGGACCTGGGCAGCGTGCTGGGTGCAGGGGGCCGCTGGCTGGGACTCTCCGGCCCTGGCCCGTTCTGACGGCACCCACGGGCTTTGTGACTCGGGCGGGCGTCGGGCAGGGCGGCCCGGGTTCCGCGGCTGAGGCTGACCGTCCCCTCCCGCCCCCAGGAGCTCGGGCGCCCCGTCCCCGCGCTCGCCCGCCCCGTCCCAGGCCAGCGGGGCGCCGGGCAGCGCGCCGGCCGCCATGCAGAGCGTGACGTCGCCCTACGTCAGCACGCCGGCCGCCATCCAGAGCATGACGTCGTCCTACGTCGCCATCACGTCCCACGTCCTCGCCGCCTTCGACCTCTGGGAGCGCGCGGACGCCCTCACGCGCAGGGACGCAGGTGCCGCCGCGGGGGGGAAAAAACTCTTGCTCAGTGCTGGTTTCGACTTCTGGCCTCGAGCTGATCCTCCCGCCTCAGCCTCCAGAGTGCTGGGATGACAGGCGTGAGCCACCGCGCCACGGCCTCTATTTTTTTTTTTTTTTTAATAGTAAGACAGGGTGCTTGCTCTCTGTCAGGGCTGGTCCTCGAACCTGAACTCGAGCATTCCTCCCGCTCGGCCTCCAGAGTGGCTGGGACGACAGGCGTGAGCCACCGTGCCCGCCTCTCATAATGGTTTTCCCTCCTGTTCGTGCGTCCATTGACCCCAGAGTATAACTTAGGCCTTTGCCCAGCGTCAGCCTCTGTGCCGAGCGTCACGGGTTCGAGTCCAAAGCAAACCTGCTTTGTCGCCCCGTTGAGGCACGCAGAGAGTTAGCAGCGAGCTGTCACAGCAGACGGTGGTGGCTCTTTGCAGTG